GGAAGAGGAGGTGGGTCAGGAGGCAATTTAAAAGGTGAATTTTTAGAGCCAGTTGAAAAATAAAATGCACCTAATAAAAGCAGGGCACACAGCAGACCAATTGATGCAGGATCAGAAATAAATGGCATTAAAAAAGCCATTTTTTTCCTAGTTGTAATCTGACTTTTGGGCTAGGAGCAATGGAAAAAAAAATGCGGTGGCGCTGTTCAGAGTCTAGCCGCAGGTTTTATATTTGTTCTTTACGATTGCTACAAGTGTTCTATTCTTATTAGGGTTTGTAAAATACCTAAATAAATACTGTAAACTCCACCCTCCTTAAACACCTTGGAGAATGTGGTCTAAGCAGTTTGCAATGTCTGTCAAGAAATAAAGCGGGTTTCGGGTTACAAACCTGTGCGTGTTTGTGCAGGAATACATGTGTCTGGTGATAGAGCTCCGCATTCCTAGAGTACCATCCACCTGAGGATCTCAAAGCACTCTGTGAGCTGCGACACTCTATAACCCTCCAAACACCTCAGTGAAATAGGAAGTACCATTATGCCTGTTCTGTAGATGCAGAAACAGAATCACAGAGACATGAAGTAACTTGCCCAAGATCACACAGTAAGTCAGTTGCGGAGATAGGAATAGGACCCAGGGCAGTAGCAGTAGGTCATCTTCCTCTGGCTTGAGAATAGTGTAGATTCTGGTGGATTTGGGACCAAAATGCCTTAGTGTGGACAGATCATTTTCAATGCCTGTTGAAAGTGGGGACATAAGGATTTGTTGACAAGTACTGCCAACAACAGCCCATTTTGCTAGTGTGGAGTCAAACCCTAGCACTTCTGATGCCAGATCTGTGCCATCACCACGAAACACTTCACAAAATAGTCACGGGAGCTGAGCATCACAGTAGTTGATTAAAGTCTTTGGAATAGACAGTGACTGGCAGTTGACTATAATGCTTTAAGGTCCAATGCATGCAAATGGTTACCAGGCCCATATCAATAAAATGTGTAGTGGTGGGTGCTTCTCCTCCAGTTTGTTCTATCTTAAGTAGAAATTGTGGGTGCAATTCTACTCTGCCTTGCACCTTTGATAGTCCTTCTTGCCTGTTTAAAGTGAGTGTGAAACACTCCAAGGCCTGAACAGCAGGATCAAGGAAATATGCTAAAATTGAGACTCTTGCCAATACATATTCTGCTGCTCCATGAAATATGGAAAACAATTGTATTAGTCATATTTTCAAATGGGCCTTCATCAGCTTTGCACTTGAACCTGACCGAGCCTGCAAAATTCATCTTTATGCCTGTAGATGAGAATTTTCAGGAATAAAGATGCAACTGTGTGGACAAAGCAAGTAGTTGTGCACCCAACTTCCTAGTGAGCCTGCACAAATACCTGTTTGCCCACACAAATTCACACGTTTGAATACAAATCGATGTACCGGCAATTTTTGCAAGTGTATTAGTGCATGCTTGTTGAAAATTTAGTTGTAAATCAATAGCCTTAATTACAATGTCATCTTACCCTTCAACAGTTGTCTTTATGCCATATCCCAGAATAATTGTTGCAGTGCGTAGCTTAACAAGGAGCCAGTAAAGAGTGGAAGTGATGTGCAGAGAGGGCTGTGTGGAAATGGTAAACTAAAAGCAGCAAGCTTTAACTGAGATCTTCCCAAGGATGACAGCAAGATGAGACACAGACATGACAGAAGCAATTGCTTCATTAGTTTGGCATCATTGACTCAACATGAAAAAGCTTTGCTTGAACATTCTAAAATGATGGCAGAAAATACAATAATTCTACATGAATCCCCACCCTCTGAACTGAGTTGTTAACATCCCACATTTCTTGTGGGGTTGGAAGAGGAGCTCTGACTGGCTGCCACCCTAACTTCAGGCCTGGCAATCATGCTTAAATGTGTCTGGGGTTTTACATTCTTACATACATGCCCTGCAGCTTCCTCTGCATTCATGTTACACAAGTGCTCTACAGCCGTACCTATGGGAATAATTAGATACAGTGCTGGTAGACAGGGCTCAAAATTATGCAGCATCATTCCTGGATATTGTGGGACTAGTGAAATACATTGTGCTTTTTAGGACAAACTCAAAATATTGGTTACATGATACATGTAAGTCTGGAAGAAATTTCTGTAAAACTGCCTGCACTAGTCATTCGCTCAGGGGAAGCACTGGTTCCAAAAATGTGTTACAAGACTAAACCCTGCTTCTGTGAAGGAGGTGCAACAGTCTTTGCTGGTATAAGGCACTTGATTCGGACATCCTGAGAGCACCCTGAGGGGATACAGTGGACTTGCCAAATTTGCTGTGGTGTTACTTTGGAATAGGCTCCTATAACCATGGTGGGCATGGTTCAAGAGAGAGGCCTGCAGTGTGAGGGGGAAGGCTTGTATGTTCTCCAACAGACGCATACACTGCCATCCACCGCAACCACCAAGTAACCGCTCTGTTCCCTTCAGAAAGGGACAGTCTAATGCCTAGGTGCCAGCTTCCAGTTTCCCACGCATACCCCCTACTCAGCTCCAGGCCCTTCCCCCCATCCCTATCCCATCCCACTTTCTCTTGCCCCCATGCTGCCTCTGCCTTGCCTCTTCCCCACCTCTTCCTGCCCATTTCCACCCCCTGCCCTCTCTCCTACCCTTCTATCCCAGTGCCTCCTGGAACAACTGATGTGTAGTGGTTGGAAGGTGCTGGGAGAGGGCGTGGTAGGTGTTGAGTGGTGGGGCTGCTGGTGGGCAGGAGGCACTGGAAGGAGGAGGGAAGAGAGATGAGCTGCCAGTGGGTGCTAAGCACCCACTAATTTTTTTCCATGGGTGCTCCAAGAGTCCATGCTGTGGAGCACCCCTGGAGTCAGCACTTATGGTCAAATGTACTTCAATCCATTGAGCCAGTATGACCTGTGCTGTCCTGCAGGATTGTTCCTGGCTTGCCGTACCCTGCAGCCTGTGGAGCTATGTGCTGCTAGCCACTGCCTTGGCATTTTGCCCTGATGTTAAATGTTTAAATAATAAAAAATGACTTTTCAGAAATAGTTTCGAATCACCACAGAAAAGATCTTTTGGAAACAGGCCCCTGGGTGTGATTCTTTGATATGACAAGGCTGCATGTGGTTTTTGCGATGACAAGAAATTCCTGTCTTGATAATGCATCGGCTACGTGTTTACCTGACATGCCGCTTACTACGTGCTCCCCTGCTTGAGAGCACACAGAGATCAGCCCTAGGAAAGCAAACACTATAGTTCAAATCTGCCTTACCTATGTCATTGCACTCTTCTCACTGACCAGATTCCCAAACTATTTGGCAGCCATTGCATGTTTCCAAATTCCCACGGAGCCATGACCTGCTCCGTACAACAGTGGTGGGCAACCCATAGTGGTTCTACACGTGTCCCACAAGGTTTTGTGTTTACCGTTCCCACACACAGGTTTGCCATGTTCTGTGGTTTTCATCCACGCGGCTTTTTTCCTACCAGTGCTACAAAAGCGACAAGCACTAGCAAGGGCACGTGAAGTGAGGTGCAACAGCGCTGGCTGTGAGAGCCCTGTGCTCCTTCTGCATTGCGTCAAAGTGCTGTTGTGGTTCAGTTGTTCAGTTGGCACATCCTGAAAATTCTAGGTATGCAAGTGTTAGTGGTGAAGGGAATTTAAATTTCTTACAGGCACTGTCCTAGTGCATCCCAGGTCCCTGCCAGCTCTGTGAATAGCTCCCTGCTGGCTTTTGCACCCGCTTGCTTTCACCTCTGCAAGTGCAGTTACCAAAACTACCCTATCCCAGGATACTGTCTTGGTTACAACAATCTTGTGGCCCACTGAGATGGAGGGCCACCCACACAGCCCACTTACTAGTCTAGGTTGCCCCTCCCTGCTATACAACATGGCTGCCACGCATATCCAAGTCTCCAGATTAACCCCACAGTCACTCTTCCAGCCCACCTTCCCCAGAAGCAACTGGGTACTCAGTCATCCCCACAGTCACTCTTCCAGCCCACCTTACCCAGAAAAAACTGGGTACTCAGTCTCTGAGGAATAGTGCTGAAATCCCAGCCCCTAGGTGAAGCCAGGAACAAAGCCCCCATGTGTGGGGCTGGCAGCCAGGACTCCAGGCATGGGGTTGGCAGCAGAGACCCCTGGCACAGGGGGCAGCCAACAGGTACCCAGGCACAGGGGTGGCAGCCAGAACAGTGGCCAGGAGCCCGGGGGTGCTGCAGCCCCCCATCCCTAGTTCCAATGCCTATGCCCAGTTTACTGATACCATTAATTTTTCTTAAGGCCTTTGGGACTGATTCTTCTCTTTCTTACACTGGCAGTAAAGGCAAATCAGACCAGCGAACATGAGCCCATCAGGAACGTGTATCTTCACTGTCCATGCTCGAGAAGGACAGTCCCTATTTAAAAAAAAATATAAACTATTTTCCATTCTGTAACTGCAGTAAACTTTCCTACCTCAGTGCACACGGAGGGGATTTAAAAGTGCAGCTCCCCAGCTATTCCTACAGACAACGTGCAGGTGGCAGCAGGTATGGCATAATGTGTGCACAAGCATGAATCATGAAACAAAGCTGTGTACATTGTAGATGGGCATCAAGGTGTGTGTTTCAATTGGCAGGTAGGATATCCATGTTCTCCATGCTGCGGGCCTCATTGGGCTCTCACATCAGCATAAATCAAGAACAGCTCCACTAATTTCACTCTAAAGCAAATGGAAGGAAGAACAAAAGCTGTCCAGTTTTTTTTGGCCTTTTTTCTGCAGCAGGGGGCATGGGTCACTTGGCGGGTTAAACTAGTGTTAATAGGGGCATCCC